GCATGCTTTTGGGCCATGATTTCTTGTTATGATGCTTTAAACATGTTGTTTTATGAGTTACTAAGTGTTTTCCAAAGTCTTGGGCCAAGAAAATTGAATTTGATGCATTTGAAGTTGAGTTTGAGCTTGGTGATCAAATCCGACATTTCTAGAAATTTGATCCATGCTCGAGCGTAGAACTTTATGCTCGAGCGTGAACTTTGAGTACATGCACTTCCGCTCGAGCGTCAAGGGTTACGCTCGAGCGTGAAATGCATATACCCAGAAGTTTGTGTGTTTTGCAGTCCGCTCGAGCGAGGGAATTTTTGCTCGAGCGTAGGTCGAGCGCCCGTCGAGCTTGAAAATCATGCATCCAGTACTTTTTCTAGTTTGCAGACCGCTCGAGCGGGGAAAGTCACGCTCGAGTGGAGCTTCATTGTCTGCATGTCCGCTCGAGCGGGGAAAGCCACGTTCGAACGTGGACCTTATTTTCAGCAAGTTTCAAGAAATGTTTTCCAATGCATTCTTGCATCCTCATTCCATCCTAGGCATTCCCAGGCCATGTTTAAGATTCCATAATGAGGATTAAAGGTTAAAAACACACTAAGAGCCAACAAAGTAAGTTATGTACAATTAGAACGTGTGTTTCAAGTGTGTGTCTGTTTGGTGTTATGTAGGTCATGTGCCACGTACCGTTTAACCAATCTGCTCCGTCTATCTGTCTCAAGGCCAACTGTGAGTAATAACATAGTAAAGCTATGTTCAACTTTACTTATTTTCCTGTGTGATGAATTAAGATCTGTTTTCTAAAATGATATGTTATGTACAATGAATGATTGTCCAATTTCTAATATGTATTCGTGACATCCTTAGCATCATGTGATATCTGTTGGCTGTTACCCGGTATTGGAGGTTCCATCATGGAACTTAATATGTCTGCACTCAGTTACCCGTATCGGAGGCTCCATCATGGGGCTCAGCGTGTTTATTCTCTGTTACCCGAATCCGGAGGTTCCTTCATGGAACTGGTTCTTTGTAACCCTCACGTGTCTACATCTATTCTGTATCTGCTCTGTTAATGCTAATGGATGTATCACGTATACGTAAGCACACCTCATGATTTCTGTATATGATCTGGATAAATTATGAATTTGATACGAAACTGAATTATGATTTCTAAATCTGTTATTGTTTACTGAGCTTTCGCTTACAGTTTATATTATGAATGTAGGTGAGCCGGCGCGTGATCAGGGGCAGAGTTAACGGCCTTCATCTCTATTTTTGTCAGCCAACTGTTGTGCCTCCCGAGGAGGTTCCGATCGAAGTCTAGTTACATGGCTGTTTTTGAACTTATGCTAGTCTCTGTCTGTTTTGTAAAGTCGGGTCCTGGGAATTACACTTTTGTAAATGTTGTGTAAATATTGATGTCCTTTGACCGACACGCTTATGTATATGCAAGTTTTGATATCCTCTGTCCTATGTATGTTATCACAGCTCATTAGACCTTGTGTATTTTGTTTAATTGCTTTTGCAGCCCCTTATTATGTGCTTATCTGTTAAGAGGCCTTTGGTAATCCACGGATTACTAGCCGGTTACGATGTTACACCTATAGGGTTGGGTTTGGGTCGTGATAGAGTGGTATCAGAGCACGTGTTCTACCACACACACAAGTCCATATGAGCTTAGGATGTCCTAGTAAGAGTTAGGGGCATGCCATCTGCATGTGTGAGTGTGTGGTAACCCAAATGAATGTGAAAACTGAATGTTAATTTGAGCAAATGAATTGAAAGAAATTAATAAGGTTATTCCTATGTTCACTATCATTTGATGTCTCTATAGCAACATGGAGAATGCAAGAGGAAGTGATGTAAGTGAATTTTTAGAGGCTCGCATGGGCCGAATGGAACAAATGCTTGTGGCATTGACTGAAACTATGACACAACAGCAAAGACAACACCCTTTCCCCCCTCCACCTCCACTGACACAAGCCAAAGCAGATAATAATGATATCATCAACTTGACACAAAAATTCATGAAAATGAAACTGACGACATTCTATGGTGGAATTGAACCGTTGAAAGCGAAGACGTGGTTACTGGAAATGGAAAAGCTATATGAGGTGTTCTCTTGTTCTGAAATCCAGAAAATCCTCCTAGCCACCTATACTTTGAAGGATGAAGCCCGAAGGTGGTGGTTACTGATTCGAAGTGGCAATGGAAATATGACGTGGGCACAGTTTAATGCCATCTTCTATGATAAATATTTTCCCCAATGTTTCAGGGATCGGAAGGTGTCTGAATTTCAAGAACTTAAATAGGAAAGAATGTCTGTAGCACAGTATGAAGCCAAATTCACCGAATTGGCACGGTTTGCTCCACATATGGTGGATACTGATTACAAGAAAGCACGAAAATTTGAAGGTGGACTAGATTTAGAGGTGTTTGATCGGGTAGGCGTATTGAAATTGCCTACTTATGTGGAAGTTCTAGATAGAGCCTTAATGGCAGAGGCCCCCCTAGCCGCCATGAAACAAAGTAAAGCCCAGCAACTACAACAATTGAGTGGAGAGGAAAAAGATTCGGGTTCGGTTTTAAAAGAGGCCGGTCCTTTGTCAGTAAGAAGCAAAACACAGGGACTTCAAACAGCTCGAGTCAGAGTAGTGGGTCTATTCCGGTCTGTTCTGATTGTGGTAAAAGGCATAGGGGTGTGTGCTACCGAGTATCCGGTGCTTGTTTCCGGTGTGGCCAGCTAGGTCACGTAGTGAAAGATTGCCCGCTCAAGTTTGAGACTAGTAGCCGTCCTGCTCACGAGCAGCGTTCTTCCGCTTCTGTGGCCAAAACCAATGCCAAAGCCAATACTGGGAAAGAACCTCTGAGACAAGGTCAAGTGTTCGCCTTAGTGCCTGGTGATGTACAAAACACCTATACTGTGGTGTCAGGTACACTCTTTATATATTATCAAAATGCATGTATACTGATAGATTCTGGTTCTACACGTTCCTTTGTATCGCATGCTTTCTCTCGAAAATTGACTAGACCATTAGAACTTATGACATATGTGTTATCTGTAACTACACCGTCTGAGGGTTCTATGATGTGGACCCTTGGACGGCCGGCCATAAGAGGTGGCCGGCCGGCCACCTGCAACTTGGAAAAGTGGCCGGCCATAATCCTTAGGTTGTGTGCATTACAGCTATGCACTTTTTGTCCCCCAAAAATATCTTGATCCGGGGGGACAGCTTGTGGTGTTTTCTCAAAACGATTTGCCGGATTTGGACTCTTTGGTTCAGACTTAGAACCGTGACACAAATCGAGTCCGAGCTGTAGCGAGGTCCCCCGCGGGCTTGTTACACATCTAAAAAATATTAAGTGTAATGTAATACTAATTCGTATATTACCATCTGTCAATAAAAATTATAAATGAAATTAATTAGTTATCAATAATGAATTAGTGATATTATTATGTGATATCAATAATATACAATGTCTTCACAATGTAATACTAATTTTTATTTATAAAAAAATGCGACATCCATAATACACAATGTCTTCACAATGTAATACTAATTTTTATTTATAAAAAAATGCGACATCCATAATACACAATGTCTTCACAATGTAATACTAATTTTTATTTATAAAAAAATGCGACATCCATAATACACAATGTCTTCACAATGTAATACTAATTTTTATTTATAAAAAAATGCGACATCCATAATACACAATGTCTTCACAATGTAATACTAATTTTTATTTATAAAAAAATGCGACATCCATAATACACAATGTCTTCACAATGTAATACTAATTTTTGATTTATTACTTAATAATACTAATTTTTGATATCACATTGTTGGCTACAGGGCGGGTCGGGTGCGCCAATGGAATTGGCGGTTTACCCGTAACCCGACCCGAATTGTTTGTAGCCAAACAAATTCTGAGTTTAAGGGTGCACAAGCCCATGTAATGTAACTCGAAAAAATAAACGAAGCTCAAATTAAAATTCATTTTAGATCTGAAAAAGTAAATAAATATAACTAAATATATTTTAAAAATTATTAAATTGCAAATCAAATACGAATTTAATAAGCATCCTATAGCCCTGTCATCTAAAAAATATTAAGTGTAATGTAATACTAATTCGTATATTACCATCTGTCAATAAAAATTGTAAATGAAATTAGTTAGTTATCAATAATGAATTAGTGATATTATTATGTGATATCAATAATACACAATGTCTTCACAATGTAATACTAATTTTTATTTATAAAAAAATGCGACATCCATAATACACAATGTCTTCACAATGTAATACTAATTTTTATTTATAAAAAAATGCGACATCCATAATACACAATGTCTTCACAATGTAATACTAATTTTTATTTATAAAAAAATGCGACATCCATAATACACAATGTCTTCACAATGTAATACTAATTTTTATTTATAAAAAAATGCGACATCCATAATACACAATGTCTTCACAATGTAATACTAATTTTTGATATCACATTGTTGGCTACATATTTTGTACAAGCCAATTACAATTCGACGCGTGGCAAAATAAGGGTAGTACGGGAAGACTATTCAAATCTTCGATCTTGATCGTATGCGTGTCAGTTAATATTGATTGTTACAAGGTCTGAGTAGCAGTGGATCAGCAGAGAGATATAAAGTGATGTGGCATCATTGGTTACTTACATTTGAATTCAAATTCAAGAGGGAAGCCTAACTGCAAGTGATGGCGTAATGGAGCTAATCTTGAGGCAACATGATCAGCGATCATGGAGGAGCAGTTCGACGATTGGAAATACAGTTTGATGGTCATCCTTAAGTAGTATAAATAGCAAAGAAGACCCTAGAAAAAACCCCCAGACTCAGATCCAGTACTTTTGAACTCTTGATTTTTTTTAGTTGGGTTATGATTTTTGGTGTTAGTTTTTTTTGAATGCTGAGTTCAATCTTTTGTATTGACTATTTTGATACTCCAATTCAGTTTTAGAATTTTTTTTTTTTAAATGGAGTAGATTCCAGTCGTTCATTTTTGAGCGAGAGACGTGGCCCAATTTAAATCGTCCTTCATAAGGAGCACCGGAGGGAAGTCAAGTAGAAGATCCAAACTCAATGAGATGAGGTTTTAGAGATCTGGAAAGTATGATTTTGTATTAGATGATTGAATAACATAAAAAGGCATAATAAATAATGATTTCAAAAAGTACCTAATAATTTTCCGAAAGTACGTGTTCTTGGGTCTAGTGCAGGATAGTATATGTGTGTAGCCAAACATGACTATTGCATTCAGTTCCCGTGCCAGACAACTAACAAGTTGTAGGGGTGGGCGCGGATCGGTTGCGGCCACGGAACCTCCAATCAGCCATCCGTCCAATGGATTGGCGGATTGGAGAAAATCAATCCGCATCCATCAGCCAATCCGGAGGATGCAGATTGACGGATTGGCAGGTGGATGCGAATCGGTTTGGCGGTTTAAAATTTTACAAATTTTCAATATAATTCAATATGTGCACTTCTTCACAAAAAAAAAACCACAAACGTGTGTTTGCACTTCCTTCCTCAACCACCACCTCTGTGCAATGGGCAAACATATACGACAAACAGCAAACAACAAACAAACAATAAAGTATTTTTCTGAACAAAAGCAATACCAGCTATTTCCATAGGAATCCAATCACAAACAGATGCAGTCAATACTGAACAATCATACATATTTTTTTTTAACAAATGCAATACCAGTTCTTTCCATAGCAATCCAATCACAAACAGATGCAGAACAAACACAAATTTTCAGCAACTGGCTTGCATTCGTGTTTCAATCCTCTCCTCATACTCCTATCTCTCTCTTCTCTCTTTCTCATTCTCTTCTCTATACATATTATGTATATGTAACATTAATCACTCTCATCACATGGACCTCACTGGAGTCTCTTTCTCATTTTATATATTCTATTGCATATATATAAATATATTGATATGTGTGTGTGTTATGAGTTTCAGACAAAACCCACCTCAATTTCCAGGTATTTGGACACACTTTTCTTCCCTACAAAAGGTTGGACCAGCTGTTGTAGATGTTGAAAACTCATTTATATATATCTAATACAAACAACATGTTTGTGTCATCTTAATCCGATGACTTTGCATCATGTTGATATACCAAATGAAGAACATAGTGATAAGAAAATGAGCATATATGTATTTCTACATGATTAATTTAAGCCGAAGCCCTAATTACTGGGAAAAAAATTAAAAAAAAAAAAAAACACAGAACACACTCACAGAAAAGGTTAAGAAGAGAAGATCCATCGAAGAGAAGAAGAGAAGAGAAGAAAACCTTCGAATCGATGCTTCGATCGCTACTCGCCGCCACTGTCACCGATCGCCGATCATCTCTAGCCACCACTGTCGCCGATCGCCGATCGTCGCTCGCGAGAGAGAGAGAGACAGTGTTGTCGAAGAACTAGGGCTACAAATTTGAAGGGCAGCAATACAGGGGAAAATGGGGGAAAGTAAATGCGGGCGGGCGGGTCGGGTGCGCCAATGGAATTGGTGGTTTACCCGTAACCCGACCCGAATTGGTTGTAGCCAAACAAATTCAGTGTTTAAGGGTGCACAAGCCCATGTAATGTAACTCGAAAAAATAAAAGAAGCTCAAATTAAAATTCATTTTAGATTTGAAAAAGTAAATAAATATAACTTAAATATATTTTAAAAATTATTAAATTGCAAATCAAATAAGAATTTAATAAACATCCTATAGCCTTGTCATTTAAAAAATATTAAGTGTAATGTAATACTAATTCGTATATTACCATCTGTCAATAAAAATTATAAATGAAATTAATTAGTTATCAATAATGAATTAGTGATATTATTATGTGATATCAATAATATACAATGTCTTCACAATGTAATACTAATTTTTATTTATAAAAAAATGTGACATCCATAATACACAATGTCTTCACAATGTAATACTAATTTTTATTTATAAAAAAATGCGACATCCATAATACACAATGTCTTCACAATGTAATACTAATTTTTATTTATAAAAAAATGCGACATCCATAATACACAATGTCTTCACAATGTAATACTAATTTTTATTTATAAAAAAATGCGACATCCATAATACACAATGTCTTCACAATGTAATACTAATTTTTATTTATAAAAAAATGCGACATCCATAATACACAATGTCTTCACAATGTAATACTAATTTTTATTTATAAAAAAATGCGACATCCATAATACACAATGTCTTCACAATGTAATACTAATTTTTATTTATAAAAAAATGCGACATCCATAATACACAATGTCTTCACAATGTAATACTAATTTTTATTTATAAAAAAATGCGACATCCATAATACACAATGTCTTCACAATGTAATACTAATTTTTATTTATAAAAAAATGCGACATCCATAATACACAATGTCTTCACAATGTAATACTAATTTTTATTTATAAAAAAATGCGACATCCATAATACACAATGTCTTCACAATGTAATACTAATTTTTATCATAAGAGTAGTTTCAAGTAGATTGTCGCTGAAACCTCTACGAAACTGAGTTTGAATCATTGTAAGTTTTTCATTCTAATGAAATGCTTTAGTTATTCTTTTTTTGATTGGTATTCTGTTTAATTCTCCTAAATCAAGCCACCTGTACAAGTCCTCTTCATTGAGGCTGAGAGAACTAAAACACAATCGTCTGATAATTGGTTGGCAATTAAATTTCTGTAAGGACTAAAT